ATTGAAAGGAGGGGGAGGGATATGTCTGAAAGTTGGGTCCAAATGTCTATACAGTCGACGTCAGAATGGGTCGGCCAGACCATTGAGACAAATTGATTATCTCATTTACTTTTAACACTCAAATTTTGAAGCTTGGGTTTTAACTTTTAAACAGTTTCTTAAAACATGAGAGCTATAGATAAAACATTAATTAGAGATGTATAATGTATGGCGTACGCAAAGAATTTGCACTCTCCACTGATTCTATCCAAAGGAAACATAACAATTGGAAAATAGTTTAAAATATGTCTTATCCACATATTTGTTGAGAAAAATAAAAGATATTATATGGTTAAAGTCATGTTCATGGTAAAATTGATTTTAAAGTAAAATATGTAAAAGATTGGTTTAACAAAATAAACTGAAAAAAGGTCTTCAATATATCAAATACAGTAAATGGAAGAAGACATTCAAAACTATTTACCAACTGTTATGTAGTAAGGTTTAATCTGTACATGAAGTTCGTGGGGTGTGTTTATATGCAGACCACAAATTTAGCATTTATTCTGTCTCCAGAATATCTTACGATGTATATTTTTCTGCACATGCTTCAACTTTGATAAGCCAAAATTGTGTGCCAAAGATCATTATTATTATTAAAAATGCACAATGAACAGAAAAAAACTGTAATTAAAATCTATCTTCAACATTTACATTCTAATTAATTTTTAAAGATGCTTAGATCAACTTAACAATTAACAATTAACTGGAGCAGCAAACATTGAGTAAATATCAGCGGATAAAATAAAATAGTGATCCAACAAAAAATAATGTTCAAAATAGCATGGCTTTAAAAATCACTAGTAATTCTTAACCTCTGCCAAAGATCAATTACACTTCAAAAAATCTGTCTCAAGAACTTAATTAACCACAACAAATACCGTACTGGAATTCTTCAGAATATATATTATGAGTGCCTGTTCACATCCCATTTAATATTAATCGTAATTTGTAAAAAAAATGGTGGCCTGATCGTATACCCTATAGTTCTTATCAAAGATTTCTCTAGTTTNTAAGCTAACTGTAAAATTGATTAGCTCACAGTGTAACTGGTTAGCTAACTGTGTAGCTGGTTAGCTATAAATTGCACAACTAGTTAGCTATTTGTACAACTGGTTAGCTATTTGTACAACTGGTTAAGCTCATTGTACAACTAGTTAGCTAACTGTACATTTGGTTAGATTACTGTGTAACTCGTTAGCTAACTGTACAGCTGATTAGCTAACTGCACAAATGTTTAGGTATTGTACAACTGGTTAAATAACAGTACAGCTAAATCCAATAGCTGACTGAATAACTTGTTAGATAACTGTACACCTGGTTAGCTAATTGTGCAACTGGATATCAAACTGTACAACTGAGTAGCTAATTGTTCAACTGGTTAGCTAATTGTACACCTGGTTGGCTAACTGTAAAGCTGTGTGGCTAATTGTACAACTGGTTAGCTAATTGAACAACTGGTTAGCTAACTGTGCAACTGGTTAGTTAATTGTACATCTGAATAGCTAATTGTACAACTGGATAGCTAATTGTACAACTGAGTAGCTGATTGTACAACTGATTAGCTATTTGTACAATTTGTTAGCTAATTGTGCAACTGAGTAGCTAATTGTACAACTTGTTAGCTAATTGTATGACTGATTAGGTAATTGTACAACTGGGTAAGTAACAGTACAGCTGGTTATCTATAACCAGTACAACTATGAACTGGTTAACTAACGGTACTATTGGTTAAGTAACAGCACATCTGGATAGCTAACTAAATGGCTAGCTAACTGTACAGCTCAGTAGCTAACTTAACAACCATTGTTACTTAATACTTATAGTTAACTACAGTTACATACATATTTATTTACCTATGGTTACATAGCATAATTTGATTTTGCAATTAATCTACAGAATTTACGTTACTCTATTTTGACCTATTTTGACATACATCTACTTTGAATTTTCAAATGTNATCTACAGAATTTACGTTACTCTATTTTGACCTATTTTGACACATATCTACTTTGAATTTTCAAATTTCAGTGGGTATGAAATATAGTACGATTTAGGATATTTAGAAGGGGCCATACAAATGAGAATGCGAAATCAAGACCGATAAAGAAAATAATTGGAGCTTAAAGGCTGAAATAGAAGTCAATAAACAGACAGATATTGCAGCAGGCAGACAGTCGAATCAGACAGACATTGTATTTGCACTATATTTCATTTTGAAGAAGACAGGATGAGATGTGAATTGTGTGTCAGCTGTCTGTTGGTCTGTGCGCGTATCCCGAGTATGTTTAGAATCGTGCGTCAAGTTCCTCGAGTCTAGTCATAGAATACAGAATTAACAGACGAAGTTTATATGTTTACTGTAACTTCTGTATGTGCGAACACCAATGAATGAACTACAGATCATACCATATAATCGGGATAGTTGAAGATATTTACAAAAATTCAAATATTACAGATTCACAATTTGTTTCTTATTTCCGAGATCTGTAATATTTGTGTTCTATGTTTGCAGTGTTGCTTCCTCATGCTGATCACAGGGGTTAATAACATCTTCAGTTTATAAAGAGGNGCGATTGTAATATAAAACATGGATCGTGCTGTGGATGATCATCTTGAATGTATTTTGACAGCAACTTAAGCCATGTAGAAATAAATAAATAAATAAATAAAAAATGATTTATTGTGATAAAATCAAATAGTGATTATCATTCACAAATGTAGAAAGGCTTCTTTTGTTTTAGTTTTGCATGTACGTTTAGAAAATTGTGCATGTTTATAATGGTATTATCATACTTTAGATCGATTTTAAACAAATCCCAACCCTACTCTTTAGCATTAGAATATTATCATACAAATCCTAGAAAACCCTTGGCGAAATCAGAACAACAACAAATATACGTTCTTGACAATTAAACCATCGAAAAGAAGGTTCCAAGAAAGAAATAAAAAAATCTCTGTCAATTGAAGCACAGTAATGTGAAAGGGAACTCCTGCGTAGGCTAATCAGTT